TTGAGTCAATTTCAGCTGAAAATGAGTACCAACTCGATGGGTAAATTTCTGAAAATAACCCACTCAGGTTGAGGATGGTTTGTTCGAAACGTGTCCTAGACCCATCGACATGGTACTCATTTTCAGCTGAAATCGGCCCAAAAAGCGGATTTTCGCATCGAAACCGAGCTGCGACCAACCTGAAGCGCGCTAGCGCAAAATTCCACTCACCTGCAGCAGCAACTCGAGTCCAATCCGGTGCTCCAGCATGCGCATCACCAGCATGGCCTTCTTGTGCAGCGCCTCGATGTACATCGACGACATCGTGTGCAGGCTGCGAATCGAAAAGTAGAACTTCTCCTCGTTCTTGCTCTGATTGGCCTGCGGCGGATTCGCGCCCAGCGGCATCGGCGCCGGCGGTTGGCTCGGATCTGGAAAACACGCCCACCAATCAGCCAACGCCTGCCCAGGCCACGCCCACCCTGCATCATCCTCACCCAATATAATCCCTCCATACTCTTCCTCGTACTTAACCACGTCCTGCAGCATGCCATGGATCATGTCGCGATACTCGTTGTTGCCGAAACTCTTCTTGCAGTACAGCCCGCACAGGTACTGGCTGATGCCCTTGTTCAGCCACAGATCCGACCAGTTTTGCATCGAAATGAAACAGCCGAAGAACTGTTCGGCCACCGCCTGGCCCATCGCTTTGCGCGTCAGGTACACCTGATCGATCACCACGGCCGAATGCAGCAGATTCACGCTCAAAATCGTCATTGTCGCGTAGGAGTGATAGTCCTCATAGGCCTCATCCACAAACACTTGCTTGTAGCACGAGTACGGGTAGCGATTCGACAGCGTGTCCTCGTAGAACTCGAACGCCTCATGCATGTACCTGAAAATGCGGAAATCGGTCAAGTTTCGGCTTATTGGGACAATTTCAGCTGAAAATGAGTACCATGTCGATAGGGAAAATTTCCAAAAAAAATTCAAAATTTAAAATTTTCAAAAAATTCAAAATTAAAGAGGAAAACACCCGTCGACATGGTACTCATTTTATGCTGAAATCGGCTCGAAAACACGAATTAACCATCAAAATTTCCCTAGCGGGTCGAGGACAGAAACTGTCACGTTTTAATGGCAAAATTTTCAAGTTTTTCGAAAACCGTTGGACGAACCGCAATTTCGATCACAAATTCGGGTTTCTGGGTCAATTTCAGCTGAAAATGAGTACCATGTCGATAGGGAAAATTTCAAAAAAAAATTCAAAATTTCAAATTTTCAAAAAATTACAAATCAAAGAAAGAAACACCCGTTGACATGATACTCATTTTTTGCTGAAATCGTGCCGAAAACACGAATTAACCATCAAAATTTCCCTAGCGGGTCGAGGACAGAAACTGTCACGTTTTTGTGGCAAAATTTTCAAGTTTTTCGAAAACCGTTCGACGAACCGCAATTTCCATTACATATTTGGTTTTCTGGGCCAATTTCAGCTGAAAATGAGTACCATGTCGATAGGGAAAATTTCCAAAAAAAGTTCAAAATTTAAAATTTTCAAAAAATTCAAAATTAAAGAAAA